GGGGGCAGAATACACCAATTCAGCAGTATGCGCTGCATGGACGCTGATCGTTAAATGTTTTGCCGAGCGGCTCGATGTAGGACAGGACTTGGGAGACCACGCGCCACCCCCGGGCTAAAAAAAAAAAAAAAAAAAAAAAAACGGTGCCAGTCGCTCAGCGCTGAGGCCAGCGAGCATGTGGCAGCAAATCAGGCCACAAGGTGCATGGCTGCCGCCTCCCCCTCCCCCCTTGCCTCACCCTTGAGGAAGACCGTCGTCCTGGGCGTGACGTCCACATCTGGGGAAGCGCTGAAGGGGAAGGCCCGCGGTTGGGACGCCGCCGCCAAGAGGAGAAGGAGGAGCTTCTGGAGTCCCATGTTGAAGAAACATGTCCAAGTTTGCATCTTGAAGGACCGTGTCCCACTTGCGGGGGGGAAAAGAGACAACCAACTGTTAACGGACAGCAACGGCCCATGAGAGAACCCCTGAAACAATTCAGTCGTTATTTAATTTATTTTTTTTAAGAGTGGATAGACATGGCAAACCGTAATAATATCAATAATTCAATGACATCAACGAAAACGTCTGGTGCAGAGAAGTGAGGGCGGTTGTTAAACTTCACACACCCCTCCCGGGACAGGAACATCCATTCACACAGGTGCCATTCTGCCTCTGATATTCGCTCCAAAGCTGGGAAATTGGCAGGTTGCTTTTTAAGCTACACTTCCATTGAAGCATCTGTAGAAATGCTATTGAACCAACATTATTACATAACAAAAGCTTTTTTTTTTTGTGTGTGTGTGTGTGTGGATTTTGAATGCATGAATCATCATCAACAACCACTCCAATGACACAAGTAATGTCCACTTCAAATCATATAACCGGAAGTTTGGACGTCACATATCAAGTGACGTTGATTGTAATTGGATTTTCCTGTTTGGTTGTTTTTCTTGAATGTATTTCATCATGGGTTTTTTTTTTTTTTTTCATTAGTATTTGAGTATCGTTTTATTTGACGATTGGTATCGTCTGTTCATTCTTTAATTTTTTTGGAACGTTTAGTTTTTCGCTTCTATAGGCAGCAGGAAGATTAGCTGGTGTGTATTGCAAGAACTAATGGGGCTCCTATAAACAATAATCAAACTTATTGTGTTTTGAATGTCGGTGCTTGCATGTGTCCTCTTGGCTGTTTGACTGGGGGAAGAAAAAGAGGAGATTTTTGCATACGCAAACACAAATTCTCATGACTTCATTCTTCGCCTTTTACCTGGTTTTTAACGACACGAAAGTCTGTCTCTCAGAGACCCCCCCCCCACCCCCACCCGGCGCCTCGACGCAACGGCGAACTAATTAACACATAATTCACACAAAACGTCCGGGAGCTTGTTGTCCACCGAGTCCCACCGGACTAAACAAAGTGGCTGCCAAGTGAGCAAAAAAATAAAAACTTTTTGCAGCGGGGCACGCACACGCACACAAACGCGCTGAATTCAGGTGAGGTGCGTGAACGTATTCGGGCATTTTTACGTGAAATAAGCATAAAGAAACGGACTCACCTGCTGTATGCACCTGTACGCGCGGACGCGGACAGAACAGCGAGCTCCGTCTGCAAATCTGCTCTCTCTGCTTAGCTCAGCTGCGACATCGCTTCAACGATTGTGGCCCCTCCCACGCATGAACAGTCTTTGGCCGGTGCCTACACAAACACGCGTGCGCGCGCACACACACGCTCTCACACACACACACACACAAAAAAACACTGTACACGCGTGTGTACTGTTTTCTAGATTTATTGCAACTTTAGAGTTTGTCTTTGTGATGGCATGTAAAACTCATAAAGATGGAATTTGGAGATAAAACGAATCACTTTTAAACACTTTTGTTAAAGTATTCATCATGTTTTTTAAAAAAAATATGTCCGACTAAACGGCCATATGAATTGAAAATATCCATACAGGGCGACACTTTTCAGAGCGCGATGACTTTGAACTTCATTTCCCAGAATGCATCTCGGCTACGGAAGCCGCCACGATCCTATGAGGTATGGGGAGTGATTTGTGCCAAAATTATTTACACCGCGACATCCGCCATTGTCAATTAACACTCTTTAATGCCCCGTTTGATGGAAATAACCTTAAGTATTTCGTTTCCCTGATGGCATTTGGAGATAAAACGAAGCACTTTTAAACACAGAAACACAGACGTTGCCACTTTTGTTGAAGTACTCATCATGGTTTTTAACAGAAATATGTCCGATTAAACGGCCACATGAATTGAAAATATCCATACAGGGCGACACTTTTCAGAGCGCGATGACTTTGAACTTCATTTCCCAGAATGCATCTCGGCTACGGAAGCCGCCACAATCCTATGAGGTATGGGGTGTGATTTGTGCCAAAATTATTTACACCGCGACATCCGCCATTGTCAATTAACACTCTTTAATGCCCCGTTTGATGGAAATAACCTTAAGTATTTCGTTTCCCGATTTATATTTAAATACATAATAGAAATCCGATTAAGGCTTGATGTCTGTTTTACAATTACGGTTTTTATAAACCACAAACGGCATCAACTCATTCCCGTTCAATGGAGAAAGCAACACAGCCCCCTTACGGACAGAAGAGGGATGGGCTTCTAACACTTGTGTACAGTACTGTATACATATCTGAGACCTGTTTGAGTGGAGACCTCGAGACGGTTTAACGTTTCTGTGCACGTGTCCGCTGACCTACAAACTAATTCACACTTCAATAATAACCGCGTTTGATGGAAATAACCTTAAGTATTTCGTTTCCCGATTTATATTTAAATACATAATAGAAATCCGATTAAGGCTTGATGTCCGTTTTACAATTACGATATTTATAAACGACAAACGGCATCAACTCATTCCCGTTCAATGGAGAAAGCAACACAGCCCCCTTACGGACAGAAGAGGGATGGGCTTCTAACACTTGTGTACAGTACTGTATACATATCTGAGACCTGTTTGAGTGGAGACCTCGAGACGGTTTAACGTTTCTGTGCACGTGTCCGCTGACCTACAAACGGATTATGAATATTTACAAATGATGCGTCATGACAAATGCACACACAGCAATCAATAAAACACGTGGAAATCGCGCATATATTTGTGGATCTGATGTGAACGCCACAACCATGTTTGTGGTCTAAAAAAGGGGGGTTTATTTTAATATCTTATTAGATTAATTTTTTTAACTGAGGATAATTATTTATTTAGTATGTAGTTAACAGATTGTTTGCCCCCTCGCGGACAGAAGAGGAATGGGCTTTAACACTTGTGTACAATACTGTATACTGTACATGTCTGAGACCTCGAGACGGTATAACGTTTCTGTGCACGTGTCCGCTGACCTACAAACGGATGATGAATATTTACAAATAAATAACCAACCAAAATGCACATTCTCCAATCATTTTACACCCGTACTTTATTAACAACGTAACCAAAATACTTGGAACAACTCTTTGTGCAGTTCGTGAACGCCACAAACATGTTTGTGGTCGAAAAAAAAAATACGTGAAAATCGTGGATGTGACTATTTCCACACAAATCTCTCGCCATACCTCTTATCCCCCCCCACAGGTGGATAAAACATGGCCACCAACATGCCATCGTTATCCTTTCGGGTAACTTTCCCACAGGACACAACATTAGGTACAGCTTTTGTCTTTAATATTTAAATAAAGCCCCTTATTTGGGGGTTTTATTTTAATATCTTATTTTTTTGAACTGAGAATAATTATTTATTTAGTATGTAGTTAACAGATTGTTAAATCAACATTTTTATTGATCATTTCATTTTATTTCACGTGTTTCATAAAAATACTCATACAGTATTTATATTTTGGGCACTAAAAGCTTGAAAACTACAATTGAGCAAGAATAACCAACCAAAACGCACATTGTCCAATCATTTTACACCCGTACTTTATTAACAAGGTAACCAAAATACTTGGAACAACTCTTTGTGCAGTTGGAAACACACACGCACACACACACACACACACACACACACACAAGGTATACCGAATGTTTTGGTGCAGAATGTTTTCTGCACACATGCAAGTACCACACCAAGTCCAATTTATCAAAGTAGTCATATTTATTTATTTGTACACATGATATGAGGGGAAGAGGGAAGAGGTTGATTGTGGATTATTTCTGGGATAGTGTCACATTAAAACTGTCCCCTAAAATTGTTATTAATAACAAATTGGGCTGAGTTGATTCAGCAGCATTTGTTCAAGTGTCATTTACACGCCTTTTTGCAAGACGATTTTCAGACATAATTTTAAAACTTGTCTAGTTACCTCAAAATGACTGAAAACATTCTGGTGAAAAAAAAAAAATAATACAGATGCAGTGGCAGACAATGACAAAAATAGCGGCGGACCCTCCGCTATCCAAAAATCTCTCGTCCTCAGAAGAATTTGACGCCTTTGCCGTCGTCCATGCTGATGAGCTCGGCTTTGCCTTCCGTTTGCAGTGTCTGCAGTGAGCGCAGCAGCATCCACTCTTCCAAGCCGTGAAACTCTGCCCAACACGCAAAGAGAGAAAATGTGAAACGATTGTGGCGTGTGGGGGACGTAGAGCGTGCACGGGAAAGGTTGGCGACAAAACCGTACCTTCGCCCTCTGTGTCGTCACCGTTGGAGAGCTCGTACAGCGTGAAAACTGTGTTGTTCATTCCGTTTTTCGATACCTAAGACAATAAAAACGGCGGTCATTATTTGTATTTTTCTAAATTTCTAATGTCGGGCACACATACATAAACAACCATCCGCGCTCAAATTCACACTGAGGGACGATATGGAGTGTTCCATCAACTTGCCATGCATGTTTTTGGAATACGAGTGGAAACTGCAGTACCCGGAAGCTACAGTTACTTCGTTCAAATGTTCACATTTTTGGGGAATCTATTAATCTGGGAAAAAAAGTTCATGTGTATACAGTAAGTGTGTTCCTCACCCATTGATACATAAGCTTGCCCCATTCCTCGGGCCGCCTCCACATCACTAAACATCTTGACTTGTTCTTGTCCAGCCATTCCAGATTCCCTGATCACCACAAATGCAAAGGTCATTAAAGAAAGACAAACAAAGAACCCAAAAAAAAAACCATTCTGGTTTACCTTACCTTTTTTCCTCAACTCCTCAAACACGACTTGAATTGCTTCCATGGACAGTTTTCCTGCCATTCGGTTAAGGAGGTCAGAAAGAATCTTACGGGACATACACAAGGTAGTAGTGGAGAGTTTTCATTGAGCTTTTGAGAGGGATACGTTTAATCTTGCGGTTGTTGAAGACGGGGCTCTCCTGTGCCTCCATCACGTCCAGAGTGTACAGCTTTTGATGGCGGCAGTAAGTCAGCGCCAGCGAACACCACGCCGCCAGCTGCTTCTGTCTCGTGTCAACATTGGGTTGAAGCCTGCACACAACAATTAAAAAAAAACAATCAATAAGAATATAAGACATAGGATGACACTTACAAAGCAAAGTACAAAATAGATAGTTCGATGGATAAGATTGAAAAGGTAATAAAAAAAATAAATAATTGTACACTAAAAATAAATTGACACCTCCACCCAACTCGAAACAGATTTCCAAAGGATGGCCAACTTAATACATTTCAGGCTGATGATATAGTAGCGAAGCTTTCTTCCCGCAGGGCACACATACAGCTTCATGAGTCATTTGAGTGTCGTTTTTTTTAGAAAATATCACATATCCGTCATGTATGAAATCACACAGAACAGCAATAACATTGAATTTTGGAAGAGACACTAAATTGAGCAAATCTACTTCCTTAGCATTTCGGCTAAGGAGCCGGTTAATATGACACGAACAGTCAAAAACCAAACACTTGAAATGGGCAACAGGTTGAAATAGAGGTTTGGTGTTTATTTTACCATGTTTAAATAATGGTTCAAAGGTGTACTCACGTGAAAAAAGGAGGAAAATTATACTGCCACGGCCACTCGAAACTCATCGCGGCGGATGCTGTGAGAAGCACGTCCCACCACAAAAAGGTTCCGGCAAATCATAAGCGCACAGAAATTAATGTACGGACAATGATACACACATTTTATTAAATTCAGTGACACTATATTATTGCTTGATAATTTATAGATAATATATCACACTCCCATTTTAATTATAGTTAATTTAGACACAATTCGTTTCTCTATTAGCTCCGATTGCATTAAAATCCCGGAATTGGGCTTCCGGAAGCGCGTCCGTCAACGAAATGGTTCCGAGTGATATTACACGGAACATAAAGCGTCACGTTTACAGCGAAATAATTTTTTTGTACAATAATTTGTAGTTTTCTTGTATTTCAATTTTAAGTGGAGGAACGGCAAAATAAATAAATACATATAAAATACAAAATTAAATACCATTTTTTGAAAGTCTTCATGCTCCTTTTTAGCTCTAACACACTGTTGTGGATAGTGTTTGTAGTTAGTTTTATCTGCCTCGTAGTTCTGACGTTCGGTGTTCGAATTTTGTCTTGCGTGGGATGCGCTCTTCTGCCTGTGCTTGCGTTTATAATTAGTTGAAGACTTTAAATTGTCCATAGCTGTGAATATGAACATAAGTTCGTCTAATTGAATAATTTGTGCCCTGCATTTGGCTGCAGAGGAGTCCAGTGTGCGTCCTGTGCTTTCCCACCTCTTTTCCAAGGTCGCAAAATAAGAAAAATATAACCAGTAGCCTTTATTTACAAAGTTAATTTATTATGGAATTACTCTGTATCACATTTTTGATAACTTTCAGCATTTCAATGCTGTCTATTACTATTTACAGCACATACATTTCCTTCAGTAGCCGCCTCTCTAGTCTGTTAATCTTTATGTACAGTAGTTGCATGTTGTCGTTAGACAAATAATACAGCATAGATATTCTGTTATATTCAAACATGCTACATCAGATTTAATTCACAAAGGCTTGCGGATATTAATAGCTGTATACATTTCTATATTACAATCAAGTCACAAGATGTGTCGTGTTAAATCTTCAAATCAAGACATGAACTCCTTCAGCCTGATTGGAAGAGGCGCTCATACTCGTGAAGGATGAGCTCCACTATCTGGTTCTGAAAAACCGTGTGCATGGCGATGTTGCCCGACTCTGCCTCGGGCCGCAGGAGCGTGGGCCCGAACACGATTGCAACGTTGTGCACCGTCATGCGGTTGTCCTCGCCACACTGGATGACCCTGACCGGATGAGACAAATGGAAGCAATGAGATCGATACACTCCATCTAAGGTTGCCGTGTTAGTAGTATCGTAGCAAGCAAAAGCTGGAAAGGACTTGAGACACTGACCTCCGTAAATGTCCGAACAAGAGGCTCATGGTGTCGTGATTCGGGATGGGGAGAGATTTGATCAACTCATAAATGCAACACACCTTTGTGTTGTAATCAGGAATTCCTACAACAGGAAAAAATACAAATTAAAAAAGCGAGGATGAGCACATTTAAAAAGGATTAAAAAAAAACAAAAAACAATCAGAATAAGTGAGAAGAAATCATTTCAAGTGAAATGATTAGCTAAATGAGAGAAATGTTTCAACGACTACCCCTGTGCCACTGCGCTCGCATTGTCTGCTTTTATCGTTTTGTCTTACTGATTGCAGAGATGAACTTGTGAAACAGGTTGTAGGGGAAAAGTGGCTCGGGAAGCTCGCGAAAGAACAGCTTCAGCGCTCCGGTGAGCACGTGAGCGTCAGCCCACTGGCCGTCCTCAAGGTCCAATTCCTCTGTTAGGAAGTAAGAGAAGACGTTAAACTACAGCATTGGCAAACAAGAACTTAATTTCCACCTGCTTCACCAGCGTAACAAAGATAATTTATTTAAAGCCATAGAACAACATCACCGTTACCATGATCTGCCTTGAAGCGCAGTTTCTGAATGGTGGCGAGGTTCCCGCTGACCCTGTAGAGTCCGTCGATGTCCAAACCTGCAGGTCAACACTTATTAGTCGGTCGGCCTACTGCTGACTAGCTGTGATCCTCAGTGGTGGTGGTGGGGGGGTGTTACCTCTCCTCTCCACGGCTTTTATGCATTTCTCCACAAATCTGGGGACGGTGGTCCGCTCCTGCGCGCAAAGCATGGCCAGGTGGCAGCCGAACACGTTCTCTGTAGGCAGGACAGAGTACCATAAAACCCCAAAAGGTGCAAATCTGCAATCAAGACAAACTATATCACTTCTCGAAGTGGGAGTCATGAGTGTGAGCTGTGGCTGACAGCAACTCCCGCGTGAGTGCGGTCATTGTGTTTGTGTTTAAACTGTTCTCCCCACAAGCTCGCAGCCACACTGCAGCTCGATCCGCTCGGTTTCGGAGGGTCACTGCCTCACTTGGCCCCGACGTGAGTAGATTAGTGTAAATAATTCAACTCTACCTCGTATGTATCCTTTCTCCTTGACTGCCTGAAGTGAGGGCCGCTTCATGAGGAACTTGATGAGCTTGGTGCGAACCTTCTTGGGGTCGGTTTCACCGCCGCTGGTGCTGTTGACACTCGGTCTGGAGGCTGACCTCCCCCCAACCCCCCAAAAAAGATGCTTCATTTAAAATGGCAGCCACGCACGGTTTTACCCAATGCAGTTGGAGCTCACCCCGACGCCAGTCGGTTGCAATCTGTTGGTCCGTGATGCTGATCTTCTCGTACAGGTCGCTACCGTCTTCCTCCTCTGAGTGATGCTGGTCCTGGTACTCCTGACAGACCAACAAACACACCACCCCCGAAAAATTTGAACTCTGCGACTTGAAATTGATAGATTTTTACCAACAAGCTTCATGCCCGACAATGAAGTTAAAATCGACGGTGTGGTCGCATCAAAAGCGTCAGAGGTGCTTACCAGTTGCCTTATGGTGTCCAGTAAGACTTTATGCCAGTCGGTGATGATGCTCTCGGTATCGTACTGGATCAGAAACTCAACACCGCTCTTGCTTTTTAACTGAAAGAGCAAAACGTCAGGAACAGATAAATGTGCTGATTTTTCACATCGGTGTGAGGGGGAAATAGATGTCCATGCAACCTCCAAAACATTTTTCTTGCTCGATTTGTCCTTAGAGGCCCAGCTGATCATGGCACCTCGAAGGTCCACCGTCACTTCCGGGACGATCTGATTGGTCTTGTTCTTCGAGCGCGGCAAAAAAAAAAAGAAAAATGTGAGCATGGACACAAAACAGGCGGTGCTGCATTCCTGCGACAAAAGTGTCTGTCAACTGGCGGCGGAGGTTTTGTCATTTAAGTCACACGGACAAGAGTTTTTTTTAGTTCATTTCTTGAATTGCCGAAGTCAAGACAAAATCTGTTCAGCAAAACTTAGTTGACTTTCAAGTGAGGTCACGTGAACAGCTCCAAAAAAAATGGGAGAAGAAACTACCGAAATTCCTGGCGATGTCGATTTCGGGTCTTTGTGGAAGGTCAGCATGCCTCCATGCAGTACAGTCCAAGTCTGGGCCCAGTTTTTCCTGCATGAGCACACGTAGCAGAGGAGCCAGAGGGCAACGTGAAACCAGATACACCCTGAAAGCACAAAAGCTTCCCGAATACGACACCCCAAAAAATACCTCGAGGTGGGATCGTTGGACTCACCTGACTTTTTTGCCATTTTCAGACACTTTTGTTTTGTTCAGGATTCCGGCTTTCTCCAAGTTGTGCACCTGAAATCCAACCGGAGACTTTTTTTTCAGGGCAAGGACGGTACAAAAGCGGGTTAGCATGATCTCTCATGTAAACACGTGGGACAAACAGCCGACAAAAAAAAAAAGAAAGTCTCCTGTCACACTGACAAACTAGAATGTGTGTCATGATGTCATTACGCAAGAGCGCAATTGCAAAATAATGAGCTCAATGTTGGTGAATTCTTCACCAACATCGGAAGTCTCCAACATGTTGCCAAGCAACATACAAATGTGTGAAATGTAATAAAAGGGCGACTGCCTTGCCCTGTGCTCCTTTTCTCGTCACACCGATACGCTTGATTCATCGCCCAAGCCTACAACAAGGCGCTCTTTTGAACGAGCAATCGCATGCGCACACCCGCCGCCCGCCATAGATCGATGGCGTTATCTATGGCTCTCATACTAACAACCCACGTTATAGCGCAGCCACCTGGAGGTCAGGTAATAAGGCTTTCTCCAAAGTTGAAACCCAGAAGCCTTAAGAGGGCACAGAAGACGATCGTCAACAAATCGTAACGATTCGCTGGCGGCGAGTCGCCCGGCGTTACTCACGTTAGGCTGCGTCTCAGGAGAGTTTCCCGTGCTGGAGCTGTCGCTGCTGTAGTCCGACGTGGTCCTGCGGTGGGTCGGGAGGAAACTCTGCCAAGAAGCGCAGTTGAGAGCGCGGAGTCAAAATGCGCGCTTCAATTTTGACCCGAGGAATGAAATCAAATCAAATCACAATATTATTTGTATGTTCCGGAGGTGTGCAAGTGCTCCTACTGCGTCATCTTGGACCGAGGCGAGCTGGGCTGGTCCTACGGTTTGTCTCCAGTTCTTGAAGACATTCACCTCTTCGGCCTCCTCGCCATTTTCCTCCTGGGACAGTCCCGGCGACGCAGGGCCCACCTACACCGGGACGAGAAGACGCGGTGAGAAATTGTTGCGGAGCGTTTGAAGCGGGAGGCTGCCCAGAAAGCTTGCGCTTACCTTAGGCAGGTTCCATTGGGACTTGGAGCCATCTTTCAGGTAATAGTAAGTCTGGCCCAGGTCGTCCACGGACTTGACCCACTGTGACGGAACACAACTGAGACTTTATATGGTGACCCATCAATTTGTGGCAGGGGTCGGTCCCTCTCCTCCAAGAGTGAGACACCGCATTCCATTATCGGTCAAAGCTAACCTGCTCGAGTGAGTACTCGTTGGAAAACACCCAGGTGCCATCGGGCTCCACGTTGAGGCTCCAGCCGGCGGGCGTGCTGCGGTCCAGGCTGGCCCGAGGGATGATGGCTCGGCTCACGTGGGACAGGTTGTATTCCCTGTGGGACGCCGAGGGCCTCATGGGCAGGGGATCCTCGTCGGGATCAGGTCCATCGGCGCCTGCCGGGTAATCTTCTGAGTTGTAGTCTTCTTCGGGTATCTGAGGCTGGGGATTTGAGTGGAACGGTGTTAACTACGAAACTTTAACCTTAACTTCCAATCCATAACCTCTCACCATAATCCTGTTTTGTTTTTTTGGAGGCAAAGTGAAAACATCCAAACTCCACAAAGGACGGAAAACTGTGTCAGAGACTTGCTAACCACCTTGCAATTGTTCACCATAATCCTGTTTTGTTTTTTTCTTTGAGGCAAAGTGAAAACATCCAAACTCCACAAAGAAGGACGGAGAACTGTGTCAGAGACTTGCTAACCACCTTGCAATTGCATTTATATCATTTCATTGTGAGACAGAAATAAAAATCTGAAAATGATTTGTTTTTCGCAGTCCATAAAGACAAAATGAGGACAAACATCTCACAAAGAACTGCAGGCATTTTACACTCCTGCTGCATCCTTGTCAAATGGGAACGACTGGCATCGCTGAAGGGTTAAATCCATTAAAAAGGAGGCTGCACTCGCCGTCTTCCCCTGAGCGAAGCTAAAACAGGAAACAGGAAGTAGAGCAGCCAGTCAGGTCCTCACCGACTCATCTTGGTGAAAGCGGTGCACACTCATCGGCTCCATCAGGGGCGGGTACGGGCTGAGCGGCTCTGGCGGCTCCCAGGACGTCTCCCCAGACATGGCGTTGTAAAAGTACGGGCAGCCGCTGCGCTCATCCACGAGCTGCTCCCAGTCCGATGTCCAGGCCGGACGGGAGGCGGTGGACAGGAAGTCGGTGGGAGACCGAGGGGGTGAGGGGGGAAGCGGTTCGGGGTCACGGGATGACTCGTAGAGGGGGTTTTCCCAGGTGGTATGCCCCGTGGCGGGGGGGTAGTAGTAGTCCTGACCACTCTCCGGGTCAAAGTGCACCTCCCATCCGTCGGCGTCCTGGTGGAGCAGCGAGTCGGCGGAGTCCTGGCGAAGTTGAGCTACGTTGGCGTAGATGGGCGCTCTTTGGGTCTCATCGTCCACCTGTGGGGGGGGAAAAAAAGCGCGCGGTTCAGAAAAAACGGTGATGCCGAATCATTTTCGCAGGAGGTGTGACAGGACCCAATGTCCTTTTTCGAGAAGAAGAAAAAAAAAAAAAGATAGAAGTCGACTCGGCTCACAGGAAATACTCTGCAGCAGAGTCATGCCACAAACCGAAAAGTGTTCCTCCCAATCTTGCCACCATAGAAATATTTCTTGCTGCCTTTTATCATGTCAGTCTTGGAACTGCGACGGGCTTGACTTCCAGAGTGGTGCATTCGAGGGGCGCGGGAAAAACAAGCAATGGTGGCACTCTAGAATGTCAGATTCAACCTCAAGTTCCAGAATCTCGAAGGGAGTCGTCATGCTGGAGTGTGCTGCAACAGGCTGTGTTGTCAAAATGTCGAAACAGCAACCCAAGCAGTTTTAAAGGAGACATTTTGCTTTTTTTCCCCCCCCAAGCCAATTTAAAACCATGTCAAAAACATGATTAAACAGAGTTTATTATTATTATTATTATTATTATTATTATTCCATTTACACCATGGCATTTCCTTTCAATTTGCCACTCGAGTGCACTCGCCGTGTTCATGTTCCCGACGTGACAACCCAAAACAGACTTCTGCATCGGACTTTCACTTTCCTCCATATGGCGCGATCAAAACCAAACGCAATTTCCGGCAACTCAGCGTGTGAAATCGCACCCTTCACTTCAACGACTTGACAGACAGAGGAGTCTAAAAAGTGGTTTCAAACAAACACACGAGTTTTAGTCACGGACTTTTACAGCATCGAGTCAACCCAGGAAGCAGGCGACGCTTGTTTTGTCAGTAGGTATCAAAATGTGACACATCACAAAAGCAAAACTACACACCAAAAAAATAAAAACGCCACCGTACGTCGTCAAAGCTCACAAGGCCTACCTGAAGCGATGCCAGTGACTGGGCCAAAACCCGCTGGACCCGGTGACCCGGACAAACCCCGGTATACAGGTCGACCATGTTTTGTCTACAGTGGTCCGCCCATTGGAGATGAAGGCAAAGAGCCCAAATATCGCGATCGACAAGACCGTTGGGGCAGACGAGCAAAGTGCATCCGTGAGCGACAGAAAGGAGAACTGCGAGCAAGCGCAGCAGGAAGGGTTGGTGGGGGCGTGTACGCGCGTGTGCGTTGTCTGCGAAACCATGGAGGGTAGAGGGTAACTGTCTGTGAACAAGCGCAGACACAAAAAGAAGACACGGAGCATGTGCGGTTTTTGTTTGGACTAATAAAACGGCAGGAAGTCATGAGGGAGTCAATCCCAAAACACACATCGGCCTCTCGTGCCAGAAAACAAAGTTGGCCAAAATATTGGAACCCCCCCCCCCCACCTGTTAGTAACTCGGTCAGCTACTTGCTAGGATGTTAGCCATTCCATTCCCCCCAAAAAAGCCAGAGAGCCTTTCAAATCCACACCCACACTGAGTGTGAATCAAACCCACACGCACTGAAAGCCACGTGGAAAATTAAACTATTTAAATACGGGGACTGGCACACCAATCAACAAACATAATAGACCAATTACTTCTGCTTGCCCTTAGCTTTGGGCCAAGTCGGCGGTATCATCACAGAAATCTGTC